TAAAAATAAAAACTCCTTATATGGATAAACATTATAAACGTTCATCTCACATGTACACGCACGCTAACAGCTGCTTAATAATTAACTTACGTATTTGTAAACATCAGCCGATAAATAAAATGGTACATTAATATGGACAAAATGGATCAAAACCTCTGAAAACAGCAGTTGTAGTTCCAATTCTTTTGGGGAATTTAGTGGCAAATATAATCCTTAAATAGCTCATCGATTTGTATATGTTAGCGCTATTAAAAGTCAAACGGCCGGGTCGGCGGGTCGTAGATCACGTTGAATAATGATCTGAAGTTATCATGCAACCGTCAACAATGTCTCAAAATACTGGATGTTTGATGATTTTTTTACAAATATACTGGGATTTCTGGACCAATTTTAAACTTAGCAAAGTGAAAAGTCCCCATTCAAGAATATGTTTTTTCTCAAAAGGTAAAATACTTAGAATACTTGATTAAATTGTTTACTTCGACGGTGTATAAATTAACAGCGTTTGACTTGCAAGACGTCAAAAACGGAAGATTTCAACGCGCTGTCGTTTATCGCGTATTCATTTGCCAAAAGAAGTATTTACGTCAATTGAAAGCTTTCTTATTAAAGAGCCAACTAGTAGAAGCATGATCGATTTGGAGCTTTATCGCATGGTGAAAATCGATTTTGTTAAGAGGGTATCGCAAATGAAGTAAGATAGTGTGCTCCAAAACTACGATTATTTCTATTCCTAAAAGTAACTCAGATTTCCTGTAAGTCATGTACACAGTCCTTTGAATAACTGAAAACAAGATTTTTAGGGTTTTAGATCGATTAGAAACGGTTGTCGTCGTGAAATTTATCTGTAAAATCAGCGCATATTTTCCCAGAAAAAATGGCGATTTAGGGTGGTCATGTTAAAACGGCATTTTCTCAAAGTTAAAAAAGCATTTGACCTAAAAAAATCTATGGTGCATTTTCCGATATAATAAGGTATATCTGGGCAAAATTTGAGCAAAATCGATTTTTCAATCGTGGCCGCTTTATGTTTGATTTTTGTGGACATCCTCTCTTAATCTCTTTTACCGATTTTGCGTAACTTTATTATTTCTTGAGATATTTGGACAGAAAAAATCACAAATCAGCTAGCTTTCTGCCATCTTGGAGGATATGCATGTGACATCATAAGCAGGGTCACACAAGAATTTTATCCATAGAGCAAATGAGCAATTGGTTATATTATGAGCCCAAAATAATATAGTTCAGTAACTATTTGAAAAACTGTCTGACGATTTTTCAAACAAGACATAATGTTATTTGGTCATTTAGATGTAGTTTTATATGGCTAACCCAAGATGGCGGACAGCAAATTATTTTAATAATGATTTTTCTGTGTTGGTGTAATGTACTCAGGTGAATATGATGCTTGTGATGTTACTCTGAGTATATATATACTCAGAGTAACATCACAAGCATCATATTCACCTGAGTACATTACACCAACACAGAAAAATCATTACTGATTATTAGATTACATTGCATGATATCGAAGGAACTAGATTCTGATCCGAAATATCACATACTCAAACCAATCTGACCGCGCAGCTCAGTTGGAAGAGCATTGGGCTAGTAATATGCCAAAGGTAGTAGGTTCGATTCCCACCGTGGTCAGGCATATTTTTCAAGCTTGCCCGGTGTGGATATATACTCAGAGTAACATCACAAGCATCATATTATTTTAAGTCAAAATATTTCAAGAAATAATAAAGTTACGCAAAATTGGTAAAGGAGATTAACGTCATATAATTTTAAAAGTTCTTTAAAATGAACCGTGTCAACCGAGTAAGTGTCAACCGAGGTTCTAGTGAGCCTTGATGGGATAATCGGCTGCGGAAGGATTTCGTTCGAGACAGTTATAATGTTGTTTACAGCTTTAAAGAAAAACATAATGTCAAGGAACTCGTGCCAGTAGGTGATTGGTAGTAAGTCTAAGGAGATCAGTCTGTCTTTGTACGTTTCTACGCACACGTATGGTAATTTCAAAATGAACTTTGTAGCTCGTCGTTGGATGCGTTCTGTCCTCGTAATTAAGTCGATCGATTGTGGTGACCAGACTTGAGTGGCGTAACCTAGCGTTGAGCGAACAATTGATAGGTACAGTGTGCGGCGTATCTTAACATTTGTAATTTCCGTTGCAGCCCTACGCAGGAAACCAAGCATTTTGTTTGCCTTCGCACAGCGATCGAGGGTATGGTAAGACCAGTTTAACTTGTCCGTAATCCATATACCTAAATCTTTCTCTTTTTCGGTGACCACCAGGGACTTGTTATTGATCGTATACTCGTATTTAATAGGATTCTTTTTCCTTGTTACACGCTGACATTTGCATTTGTCTTGGTTGAAGACAAGGCCAGAAGATGTTGACCAGTTCTCCAAACTACTCAGGTCACTTTGTAAGGAGATGGCATCGGAAGTAGAATCAACTTTCTTAAATAGTTTCGTGTCATCGGCGAAGGAGGCGACCTTGGAGTGCTCTACTGCATCCGGCAGGTCGTTCGCGTACAACAGAAACAGTATGGGACCTAATATTGAACCCTGTGGAACTCCTGACAGGACAGGTCTCGCGGAGGATGTAGCTCCTAGCACAGTAACACGTTGCTTGCAATTTATCAGATATGACTCAAACCAGCGAAGGAGTTTACCAGAGATGCCATAGACGTTCCTTAATTTGCTTATCAGATATTTATGGTGGACTTTGTCGAATGCCTTGGACATGTCCATGTAGACTACATCAGTTTGCTTGCCACCGTCCAGAAGTGAACCAATATAGTCAAGAACCTCTAATAGCTGAGTTGTACACGACTTTCCGGGAATAAAACCATGTTGGCTATCATTGATTAATTGCAGCAAATGATCACGTATATTTCTCAGGACACAACGTTCTAGTACTTTCGATATTATGGAAAGAAGGGAGATAGGTCTATAGTTCTCTACTTGGCTCTTTTCGCCTTTTTTGTGTACCGGAACAATGTTTGCTAGTTTCCATTCATCAGGTATTTCGCCACAGCTTAACGACTTGTTGAATATTTTGGTGAGGGAAGGTGCAATCTGCCACGCAGTTTCTTTTAAAAGTCGAGATGGTATTCCTTCAGGTCCAGTAGCCTTGGTGGTGTCTAGCGCTAAGAGTGTTCTTGCGACTTCTTCTATTGTTAGTTGGAGGTCTGACTGTCCTGACGTTGAAGGTGGAGATGATGGTGGAGAGGAACGTTCATCCAGGTTATCATGATCAGTGTTGAACACTGATGTGAAGTAGCGATTGAATAGATTGGCAATAGCAGTAGGAGTGGACACATCATAAGTTTGTGATGATTCAGGTTCAGCGGCATTTCTCATTGACATAATATCTGGAACACTTGATTGTTTATTGTTCAGCTTGAAGATCGACCAAAATCGCTTTGGGTTTGTTTGGAAGATGCCATCAAGAGAATTGTAAAATCTTTCACGACTTTCACGGACCATTTTTTTAACTTTGATTCGTAGCTCTTTAAATTTAGCAAGAAGGACGTCAGATGGAAATGATCTTAACTTCCGTCGCACCGCTTCTTTCTTCCTTATCTCGTGAATAATGCTTCCATTAATCCAAGGGGGAGAATTTCTACCTTTGATCTTCTTGGTTGGGATGTAATTTCTCACCACGCTAAGGAATGTGTTTTTCCATTGTTCCCAACAGTCATTAACATTTTCTCCTGAATCGATTATGTTCGAAAAATCAGTCATCGCTAAGGCTGAACGTAGTCCGTCCATATTCCCTCTACGGTAATCAAAAACAGTTCTGTTCAGTTTAGGAGCTGCTTTTATGGACGTTTTCAAATTGAAAAGGATTGTATCGTGATCGGTAAACAAACCACTGTCCATTGGCTTAAGTTTTGTAATGTTCTCAATCTGATCTGGTAGGCTAGTGATAATTAGGTCTAAGATGTTGTTTCCTCGTGTGGGCAAGGTGTTGACCTGAGTTAGGAAGAAATCATTCAATTGTTCCGTGAACATAATGTCATCACCGGATGAAGTGGCAGATGGATATTGCCAATGGAGTTTGGGAAAATTAAAGTCTCCACAAATTATTACGTTGGTGTAGCGTGAAGAAACTTCTGCTAGGAACGAGTTAAATTTTTCCAACCAAGATTGATCCGCGTTGGGTGGCCTGTAGCAACAACAGATGACGTATTTCAGATTTGAGGTTGTGACAAGTTCTGTTGATACAACTTCAATATCGGTTTCGATGTCTACATCGCGTGAGGAAATGAATGAACTTGATTTAACTGCCACCATTATGCTGCCACCAGTGCGCATTTCCCGATCTTTTCTGTAGATAGCGTAATCGTCATGGAGAATTTCAGTGTTCGCAACATCTTTTGTGAGCCAGGTTTCCGTTACCCAGACAAGATCCGCGGCCTCAGATAAAACAAGCTCTTGGAGAGATGACAAAACTTTTTCCCGTCTAAAACATGCTGGCTTTTTAAGCTACGGGCATTCAGGACAAGACATGTGGTGGCGAGTCCTTTCGATTTTCGGTTCTTTGGTTCATGTTGCGACTCGGAACTGAACGATATAGTTCTACAAGGGCCTGGATTAGTGGCGATATCTCCAGCAAGGAGGATACACAGAAGTAGATGTATATTCTTATGTTTTATCTGAAGTTCCAAACCATACCGGTATTTACAAGGGTAGTTGGATTTTCTTAAGATATTGTCTCGTGTTGATGTCCAAAGTAAACAAAGTTTATCGGGTATCGTTGTAAGTTCAGAAGTGATGTAAATGTTCTTTGATGTTGGTTTTTCTTTGAAGCGCTCAAGTTCAGGTTTTGATCTTCTAGCCAGCCAAAGGATTAGGAATAAAGTGAGAAGCCATATGACATATGAACAGCCATCAACTTTACGATTGAGAACTATCATTTTGTCGATAATTTATCGTAATATGAATTACGCGCGTAAATGACCAGAAACTCCGCGAACTTGCGCGAATAGCGTAATAAAAAGTTCGTTAGGTAATCAAAATAACGTCACCAAACAATGCGACGTTGACGATCACGCGTGCGTAATCTCAACGGAATTTCTTTCAAGAACCTTTGAAAACACCAAAACCACGATATTTCGATACGTTTTTCGTCTAGTAATAATACAGAATCCACACACAAACTTTGGAACAATATAGCCTGTGTTCTTATCTACGATTTTCCAGTAAATTTTACTTCAATCCCGAGTTTTAAACGGTCAAAATGCAAGGATTTTACGTAGCTCCGAGCGTGCGTGTGCACGCGCACGCGCGTATTGCGTATGCGTATACTTATCGCTCATTTCTCGCGATGTCGGCATTTTGCGAATATCTCGGGTCTTTTGTTCAGTGTTAAATGCTTGTTTGCATCCATTATGCAGAGTTTTTCTTCTATGCAGAGATTGCAACGCTTTGCACCAGATGAGTATGCGCCTGCCCGCTTCAGAATTTGACCATTTTAGGGTGTAATCTTTATTATTACTCTTTAGCCCCCAGATGTACTTTGACAGCTCTGTATCGTTTTTATATCTTTGGAGTTTGAAGGATTTCTTATGATTTCCATATCGTTCTTTGAAAGTAGTCGCCGTCATTCCTATATACTCTTTCATGACACCGTCGTCGGGTGATGTAACTTGGGCCTTGTAGATTATGTTTTTAGATTTACAGTTCTTCTTAATAGGGCATTCACTCGAGTTATTACAGTTGCAATTATCTGATGTTGGTGGGGTGGTTGTGGGTTTTGACAGGATGCAATTGTTGTGGCGAGATATAACGCTCTTTACATTAGGCATGCAGCTATAGCTCACTTTGACTGTGTTACGGTTGAATATTTTGTGCAAAGGACTTGTAGGTGGGAAGTGTTTATCGAGAAGCTGTAGGAAATTCCGCGCGATGTTGGTTTTAACGGATTTGCTGAACGGGGGGGTTGAACCAGATAATGTTTCTTTGGCGCCTTCGTTTCGTAGATGGTGGAGAAGGAGGGCTGTTGGGTGAATATTCCAAAGAAACATTGTAATTGCTGTGTTTAAGTGCGCTTTCGTAGAAAGGTTTGCATTCATCGAAGGATTGTTGGTCAGATGTATATATATATGGTCGAAGGATTGTTGGTCGTTATATATATATATATATATATTATATATATATATATATATATATATATATATATATATATATATATATATATATATATATATATATATATATATATATGGTATATATAGTCTGTTATTGACTGGTTCCAGAACATCGAAAGAAAACCCAACCATACATTCTTATCGTTTGACATAGTTGAATTTTACCCTTCCATCACAGAAGACCTGCTTGACCGCGCCATCGTTTGGGCTACAACTTTAACAACAATCCCGGAAGAAGATATTTCCATAATCAAACATGCGCGAAAATCACTCTTGTTTAACGGCGATACAGCTTGGACAAAACGAAGTAGCGATTCATTATTTGGTGTAACGATGGGCAGCTTTGATGGAGCGGAGATCTGCGAATTGGTTGGTTTGTTCGTCCTGAGTAAGCTCGCGGAGAAGTTTGGTAAAGAAAATGTTGGGCTATACCGCGACGATGGCCTTGCATTAATTGAAGGCGTTAACAGAAGAAAGGCGGACAAAGCAAAAAAGACGTTGCATGACATATTCGGTCAGATTGGTTTGAAGATAACTGCTCAGGTTAACAATCAAGTCGTTAACTTTCTGGATATTACGCTAAATTTGAAAAATGAAACATTTGCACCGTACAGAAAACCAAACAACCAACCACTTTACGTTGACAGCCGATCTAACCATCCACCATCCATTCTAAAGCAAATTCCCGTCTCAATTAACAAGCGAATCTCTTCCCTTTCATCTGACCAACAATCCTTCGATGAATGCAAACCTTTCTACGAAAGCGCACTTAAACACAGCAATTACAATGTTTCTTTGGAATATTCA